ATAAATGCACAACCTCTCTAAATGAACATTTTTAAAAATTTGTCCTATGGTCCCGAGGGGGTGCAATTATAGAGGTTCGACTGTAATAACTTGTGTACATATAAATCGCGAAATAACAGACAACAACGCAACGCTAACTGGTGTCATAACATATATAGTGACAATCAATCATTCTTGAAAATTGGTAATAACGTATATTTAGGCATATTCGATTATTTGACAAAGAATTCGAACGCAAGATAATTATTAAACATTGGTGTCACTCTTTCTTTAAATTTTGAATATTTCGTTTGTTAAAATAAATAAAATCAAATCAAGCCTGAATTCATGTTTAAATTATGTATCAAAATATTGTAAAAATGGTGAGATATATGCCACTATTAGCTCAACATTGCAGTATACCTTAACAATAAAATGCTTAAGAAAATTCTTCGATTCGAATCGGTTATTTTTCATCTTTTTTATTTGACCTAGTATTATTTACTTTGAATGTCAAATATCAAATTCGAAACTTTCCACATTGATTCCATAATTATATAAAGAATTCTTTGCCTTATTCCAATCATTAAGAATGGTCTGAACATTGATAGGTTTCATGTCAATATTACCTTTGGAGGAACTCTCAATTATTTTTTGTACATTCGTAAAATGCTCAACATGTCCAATCCAAAACCTTTCGAATTTCTGAACACCACATTTAAATGATTCAACATCTTCAATGACCTTATTAACATAATCTACTTTTTCGTAAATTTTACCAGCTTTTGCAATTTTATGTCGAGCAGATTTATGAATCTTTTCTTCTAATACTTGACCGAACAAAGAACCTGCCCCCATACTTGCAATAATAGTTGACAAAAACACCACTCCACCGTCAAATGGAAGTGTATAAGTGCCTACACCGATTCCTGCAATAATACCAACAAATACTCCAAAAGAGCCACCTAAGACTACACATTCAACCTGTGCATATTTTGCTTCAGATTGCAGATTTAAAGCTTCCCGGTCAAGATCGAATTTCTGAATCTTAAACTCACGTACTCGTTCTTCTAAATTATCCGAAATATTTGCTAAATTTTTAGATATATCATAATAAGCCGTACGAATTCTTTCACATTCTTGAAACATTTTTGTAATAGTTAATTCTGAATTTAAAAGTGAATTGATGGAATTGGAATTTTGATGAAAAGTTGTCAAACCACGCAATGAAAGTTTATTTTTTTCAAATCCCTTAAGTAAAAGTTCGTAAGATTTAGACAAAGATTTACTTCGATCAATAGTTGATATCGTTAAATTTTTAAATATTTGTGCTTGATTTTGAATTCTACGAATTTCACGTTCTACTAAGAAATCTTTAATTCTCGAATCCGGATATGTCATGAATCTTTC